CGAAACTTGCGAAGCGTGTCCGCTTCGAGCTGTAAGTAGCGGGCGTCGATAAGCACATCATCACCGACTTTGAATGGATGATCCATCCTCGATCGGTTCGCACATGCTGCCATGCGAGTCTGGGAAGCAACTATGCGCTCATGTGCGGTCTTCATGATCGACGTCATGTGTGCAACCCAATCGTCTAGCGCGGGACAACCCTTGTCGGGGTGCAGGTGGAACGGTTGAAGGAAGTCCGCGGGAACACGAGGGTGATAGCCGAGGTCGCAATAGTAAGGTGACATCCCCGTGGCTGGCGAGATGGCGTGGTTGTAGGCTATCTCCGCGTGGGCAAGATGAAGATCCCACTGCTGGTCGTCAGGAACAATCTTTCGAAGAATATCTCCGAGAGTCTTGTTCGTGATCTCGGTCTGACCATCAGTCTGAGGATGGTAAGACGAGGAGAAGCGAAGCTGAGTGTCGTATACCTCGTGGCGCCGTCGCCAGAATCGGTTGGTAAAGCGCGGGTCACGGTCAGATATGATGCTCAGAGGTAAGTCGTGGTCACGAACGACTCAGTCAAACACGATGTTGGCAACCTCACGTGCACTGATGGCATAGCGGCACTTAACAAAGCGTGCACGCTTCGTGAAGCGGTCGACGACGACCGGGATAGCATCATGACCGCGAGGGGTCGGAGGATGAAGAGGACCGATAAAGTCCATCGAGATGGACTGCAAACGACCCTCAGGGATAGGAAGAGGCTGGAGCAAACCATAAGGCAGGTGGTTCGCACTGTTCACCTCCTGACAGGTGAGACACTTTGCGACGTAGTCCTTCACAAAGTCCTTACGCTTCGGCCAGACGTACAGGCGGCTCACACGGAGCCAACGTCTTGTGGAAGCCCATATGACCGGCAGCTGCCTGGTCATGGAACTCTGCTACTGCTCAGACACGTAGCTGTCCAGTGGAGGGAATGCAAATGCGGGGCTCTCTGGTGCCCTGTGAACCGTGCCAGTACACAAGACCGTTGTCCCCGAGAGAGTAGTTCAGGATGGTCTTTCCACTCCGAAGGGTCGCGTGGATGTCGAGATAGTCGGGGCAGTGGCGGTACTGAGTGCGAAAGACGTCGATCACCGAGTGGTGGACGGTGGTGACCGAGATGGAAGAGAGCTGGATGTGCTCCTGGTCATGGTCAGGGCGCCGGGATAGGGCATCAACGACCCGATTAGTCTCACCCTTGATGTGCTCAGTGGTGAAACTAAACTCGGATAGGTCGTGCCACCAGCGAGCCTGTCGAGGAGTGAGCTTCGGCTTTGTCAGAAAAGCCTGGACAACAGAGTTGTCCGTACGCACCGTGAATGGTGCCCCGTGCGGGTAGTGACGCCAGTGCCGAGCGACATAAACTACTGCGAGAACCTCACGTTCATCAACAGTATAGTTTATCTCGGCAAGCAAGAGTTGACGGGAGTAGAAGACTATCGGACAATCACCTGAGCGAGATTCGACAGTGCCATCCTCGGCGATGGTAGGAGAATAGTCAATAGAAGGCTCGTTAGTAGCTGGACGAGTAGGCGTCAGTCGGGAAGCAGTGGTAGGGGTAGGTGGTGGGAAGCGAGGGATACGAGGATGAAAGAAATCATGAGAGGAGGGGAAGACCTGACAAAGCACTGCTCCTACAACGAAGTCTGATGCATCGGTGGTAAGGATAAAAGAACGGTCAAAATCGGGTAGGTGAAGAACCGGTGCGGATGTCACCGCCTTCTTGAGGGCGCGGAAGGCGTCCTCATGGAGGGGTGTCCAAGCCTAGGGTGGGTTCTTCCGGAGGAGGGTGGAGGTAAGGACGTAGGAATACCTAGCGTATCCCCGGATGAAGTTACTRTAGTAGCTGGTCAGGCCTAGGAAGCTGCGAAGCTGCTTGGCGGATGTGGGAGCGGGCCACTCCGCAATAGCAGTGATCTTCGCGTCGTCCATGTGGAGACCCTGGTCAGACACGTAGTGTCCTAAGAAATCCACTTTGTGCTGGGCAAAGCGGCACTTGCTCAGGTTGGCGTAGAAGCCATGTCTGCGCAAGCGGTCAAGGACGTCGCGGAGATGTCTAAGGTGCTCCTCAAGGGTACGATCGAAGACCAGGATATCGTCGAGATAGACGAGAACGTACTGCTCCAGGATGTCCCTGAAGATGTCGTTCATCGCCCTCTGAAAGGTAGCGGGAGCATTCGTGAGGCCGAATGGCATCACCGTGAACTCGTAGTGGCCGAATCGCGATCGGAACGCGGTCTTCGGCTGGTCGGCTGCAGCAACGCGGATCTGATGGTAACCGCTACGAAGATCAATCTTCGTAAAGAAGCGGTTGCCTGCTAGGCGGTCGAACAACTCATCGGAACGAGGCATGGGGTAGTTGTTCTTAACCGTGTAGCGGTTGAGACCACGATAATCGATGCAGAGACGGAGAGTTCCGTCCGCTTTGCGAGCAAAGAGGACGGGTGCACCCCACGGGGAGTTGCTGGGTTTAATGAAACCCTGTCTCAGGAGCTCCTCAAGCTGACGCTTGAGTTCGGTGGCCTCGGGGATCGAGAGTCTGTAGGGTGCCTGGTGGTGAACACGATAGTTAGGCACAAGCTGAATGGAGTGCTTGATGTCACTCATCGGTGGGATGCTGGCGTACGAGAACGACGATGGGAAAACGTCGTGGTACTCTTGGATGAGGTCATGAACTGCGGGCTCCACATCAGCCGTATATCGTGCGAGTTCCTCCGCGTCAGCGTCAGCGCGCGACGGCGGGGTGGACTCGACGGACGGCGGAGGGACGGAAGTAGAGATGGGAGCCATGGAGATAGAAGGAGGATCTGGCTCCAGAGGGAGGAGCTCGGCATCGGGACTGGGTGGGTCATAGTGTAAAAGATCCGTCACGTTCACCATAAAGAAGGTGAGGTCGTCCTGTCGGATGAAGTGAGCGAACTGCCGAGGCGAGGTGACAGTGATAGAGGGAGATGGTGTGGGCACTGAAGGCTCCGGGAGAGGAGGATCGGGGCGTGGTGTCGTAGTGGTACCTATGAAAGGTACGTGATACGTCTGTCCACACTTCGTTTTGAGAACGAGAGTGTTGGTCGCCCAATCGGTCTCGGTGCTGCGGAACTGACGAGACAACGGAGTGCAGAGAATGAAGTCGTACCCCGTCTCCATCACATCCAAATGTGCAGAGGGGCGGTGGCGACGAGACCCCGGGGAATGATCAGTCGGCTCGAGGGTGAGGAAGAAAGGGAGATCGGTGACCGTCTGATCAAAGAAGCGCTGGGTCTTGTCATCCCCTAAAGTGACAGAGATGGGAGACGGAGACCCGGTCGTAGGTAAGCGGGCTTCTTTCACCACACGGGGGTGAATGAAGTCGCCCTGAGAACCGGAATCCCACAACGCTGAGTACACCCTCGTGGAGGTCCCCAATCGTACTGGGATGATCGGGAGGGTGCGATCAGGGTTAGAGAGGATGGTAAGAAGGCGACGCAGGGCTGCGACATGGAGAGTGAGTCGCTCCTGACGAGCCTGGAGCATGCTCAAGTCCAGAAGAGAGGATACAAAATCCTCGCGAGTAGCGAGCTGCTCGCTGCAACGGGCTGAGCGAATGGCTCGACGCGTCGGTAGTCGCGACGGTGAAGGAGGGGAGACGGTGGTCTGTGGAGGCGCAGACGGTACTGCGACAGAGGGCTGAGTACACTCTGTCGAGTCCTGCGATACCTCAACTCCAGTAGCGAGAGGGGCGAACCGTGACGGAGATGTCAGCAAGCCCACTACTGAGGAGGGCGCAGGTGTACACTGCACCGTGGCTAGGAGGCGCCGCGGGGACGTGAGGCGCCGAGGGGGGACTGAGCACGACGCTGATGAGAAAGGTCAGCGTAGTGGCGGTCGAGGGCGGTAGTGTAAGGGCACCGCGGGGAGGTATGACCGTCCAAGCGGCAACGCAAACACCCACGTCGGCCCAGAATAGCCGCGCCCTCCTCAGCGGAAAGGACACCGCGAGGAGGGACGAAGCCCTGAGGGAGTTCCTCCTGAGGGACCTCGGGGGGCGACGCGCCAGTGTGACTGGGGCGTCTGCGTGCCCGAGAGAGGGTGGAGAGCGCGAGCTGAAGGCGCTCAGCTGCAGGGAGGGTAGAGTCCTCCAAGTGATAGTGGACGACCTCGCAGAGATCGAGGTCGTCGCTGTGGTCGCCCTCAGGTGACAGTGGGTCAACAGCGTCCTGCTCACCATACTCCAGCGCGCTGAAGCGGCGCGAGAAGTGGCGGCCCTGCTGCGTGGAACGGCGGGGGCGACCGCGGAAAGGGGAACGATGCTGGGATGTGCCGTGAGAGGAAGAGAAGGTGTAGCCCGTGCGCTAGGGCTGGGAGGAGGAGGCGGGGTGAAGACGGGCTCGCATCCGCTGGTGGTCCCTGGTGGCCTCGTAAGCCTGTGGGGCCGATGTGAACTCCTACCGCCATAGCTCGGAGCGGTACTCGAGCAGAAGGCTGGCCAAGAAACGATCGATAAGGGCAGCCTCGGGGAGGAACGCCACATCGCAAACGAGGCGGGCGTCCTGAAAGACCTGGATGTGGCGATCGAGGCCAACAGTGCCACCAGAGCCGGACCAGCATGTAGTGACGACACACTCGAAGGCGTCAGTCACATCGTATCGGGCTCCGAAGCGATCCTCGAGGAACGCCCGGAAATCCACGAAGGTCGGAGTCCGACCCTCACGAAGGGAGTAGGCATAGAAACCCTCCCAGGCCTCGAAGGGACCGCCACGCAGGCGCGTGGAGAGGTGACCCACCCACGTCTCGGGTGTGGCGCCCATGAGCTGGAGTGTGCGGGTGGTAGACTGCAGCCACCGAGACACGCGTATGCCTGTACCGTCATACAAGGCAATGTCCGACAAGCGGATGAGTGGTGCGCCACCGTTTTGGCGGCGAGGGGATCGAGGAGCGGAGGCCTGTGCCACGGCTGAGTAAGTCGGCGCAGGTCCTGGAGAAAGGGGCGCAGCTGACTGTGTGCCCGGGCCGCATGGGGGAGCGGCGGTGGCAACAGCGGCAGGCTTCGAGGGTGCTGCGGTAGAAGAGGTCGCAGCAACCGCGGGAGTAGGAAGAAGGTAGGAAGGAGTTGTACAGGGTGCAGGGCGCGGAAAGCGAGCCTGCATGGGAGGAAGGGTAGAGGAGGTAGGGGGTGCGCCCAAAGGCGCGGCCACCTGTGAGGGTGGGGGTGGCTGAAGGCGTAAGATGGCGAGGTCGGCCCGGAGCTGGGCAATCTCGTTCGCGAGGCCTCGAACGTAGTTCAATCGAGGGGTGGCAGGAGGAAGAGTGGAGGGGGTGGACGCACAAGCGGTGCGGGGCATCCCAGTGGGGGGAGAGCCAGGTGGCGCTACGGTCGTGCGAAGGGGAGGGAGAAGCGGGGCACCCGGAAAAGCTGAGACCATGGTAGCGGGTTGTTGTACCGTGGCCGTAGTGACCGGGATCTGGGCGGGTGCGCCCGTAGACTGAGGGGGGGCGTGGCTCGTGGCGGCCGTCGTGCTAGGGGCGAGGACAGTCACCAAGATGGCCGGTTCAGGGGCAACGGAGAAGGAAGCTCCGCCGTGGCCACCCTGTCGGAGGACGGGGGACTCGGACTGGGAGCCAGGAGATGACGGACACGCAGCGTCCTGGAGTTGCTGCATGCCGGCGGCAAGGGTCGCCACCTGTGCCTGTAAGGGCGCGAGGGTCGCGAGTTGCGCCTGGATGGGCGCAAGGGTCGCGAGTTGCGTCTGGATGGGCGCAAGGAGGGAGGTGAGGAGGGTGTGTAGATCCCCCTGGGACTGATGACCCTGGTCCACCGGCACGGGTGTGGAGCCCGATGCCGTGGTCATTGCCGTGTCGGCGGCGTGTGACGCACCGTCGGCCATGGGGAGATGACGGACCGGACTGGAGGGGGCCAGAAAAGGTCCGCGTGAGCGGAGGGCGTAGGGGGAAGTCCGCGGTAGAAAGCGGCGAACGACGCTAGTAAGGCTAGCACGGGCGCCGTCAAAGGGGGAGGGGTGGTTCGGGTCCAGGGTGCCCGAAGAGGACGGGGAAGTAGGGGGGTTTTTAGGAACCCTAAACCCTACAAAAATCCTAAGAAAACCCTAACTGAGGTTTCAGTGGCTAGGGTAGGGTACCGGTGACCTAATCAAGAAAGTACAATAACAATCATAAGGGGGGGGAAACGGGAGAAAAATAAATAAACAGCGAGATCTCGAGAGAAAATAAAAATAAATAAGAAAATAAAAATAATTAAAGAAATAAGTAAAGAGATGTGAAGGGAAACAATATTTATTTTTTTTGAAATTTTTGGCAGCAGTTCCCTACCCCCCACGGGGTCAAGAATGTGCCAAGGGAAAAGCAGAGACCGAGGTGAGCACATTAGAGATGCCGCAAAAAAAAAAAAAATAAAATAAAATAAAAAAAATTCAGAAAATAAATAAATAATAAATAAATAAATAAATAAGTAAATAAGTATGTGAGGAGGTGGGGAGAAATGGTTTATCTGATTTTTTTTTTCAAAAATTTTGGCAGCATTTCGTTATCCCCATGGGGTCGAAGTGTGCCGAAAAGACTAAGTAAGAGAAAATCAGAAAATTTCGACAGCACTTCGTTAACCCCACGGGGTCAAAACGTGTGCCGAAAGCAAGAAAGGCTAACACCTAATCAGATTTAGGGTTGCCGCTAATAAATTCGAATTTTCAGAATAAATAAAAATAAATAAAATAAATCAGAAAATAAGAAAAGAGGGTGGGGAAGAAGATGAGAAAACTAACAACTAATCAGATTTAGGGTTGTCGGAGAGAAAATCGAATTTTCAGAATAAATAAAAAAATAAATGAAATGAATCAGAAAATCAGAAAAGAGGGTGGGGAAGAAGAGATTTCGAATTTTTGGAAAAGAGAAAAGATAAATCAAAAGAGAGGTGGAAAGACGAAAAACAGAAAAAAATTCGAAGTAGGGGGGAAGGGGAATGAAAAGTGAGGGAGAAAAGAAAGAAATAGGTGGGGAAAGAGAAAAAGATGAAGTGGGAGGTAGGGGGGGATGGTGTGGTCACTGTGGTGGTAGTTGGGGGAGAGGAGGGATGGGGAAAGGTGGACAGGGATCAAGAAGCAAAGAGAAAAGAAGGAGGAAGAAAAGAAAAGAAATAAGGAAAGGAGAGTAAAAGAATGGGTGTTGGGAGAAAGGTGGGGTGGGGAAGATAAAAGGAGGAGAGAAAAGATGCAGTGGAAGGTGGGGRRAAGAGAAGGGGTGAGTAAGAGGAGAGAGGAGAGGTAGGGAGAGTGGGTTAGTAGAGGGAGAGGGGAGAAGGGAGTGATACCTGGCCCTTGGTGTCTCCAAGGGCACAAGGTACACCAAGACCAGGAGGGTCTCGGTCTTTGCTGCAATAGCCAGTTGAAAGAGAGAGGGGGCTGAGATCTTGATCAGCCCCCAACAGCACTTCTGCAGATCTGCAGATGTAGGGTCTACTGTGTGAGAAGGCCCTCACCACTGTAGAGCAGCCCCCTTGGGCAGAGGGGTCTTCAGTTCACAGTAGCTGCCACGTGGCACGG